TAAACAGGAAACAATCTGCTCAAAATTCATCCAAATCACTGGTTTTACACAAACTTACTGAGTTCACTGTTTGACTCTAATATGAAATATCCATAAAATATGTCACTGAGTCAGTTTATTAATGATAGAAAAGGGCTCCCTCGTGGAAAAAGAAGCACTGCCATACAGTATATCTCAGCCATCAGAGACTAATTACATCAATGTACAACTGTGTGCACATACAGTACATACAGACCAGACACAATGGATATAAAAATATACACCTGCTTTAGATAACATATCAGTCATCCAAAACATGTGTCTGCCCTGTCAAGGTCGTGTGTCCACAAGTTGGTGATACAGCAGTTTTATCTTTTATAAACCATCAATAACAGCTGTTTCTTCAGCTACTCGAGGTTCAGCACGAGTGTTTTCATACTATAAATAATTAAAGTAAATTAATCTGCTTTCTTTCTGTCCCGAGCTGCTCTTTGATTCACAATGAAATTCAGAAAAACTGAATTGTAAACACATAAAAACTGAAACAGAACTTGAAAATTAATATAATGAAATAAATAATGAAATTAAATCAAATTGAAGGTCGCTTTAATGTTTTAAAGCCCTCTTCTAACCCTCGGGGGGGTATTATTTTATTATAGAGCTAATGTGGGCGCTACTGTGAGCTATGATTAGCCTGGATGAAGCTTCAGGTATGAGCATTTGTTCATGGCCCATTCCCGCCCTGTGGTGACAGCTCCTCCTGTCAATACAGCGGATAACAATAGAAGTTTTATGGATGATGAAGATGGGTGTGAAGTGTTCGGCCTCTATAAGGCAGGAATACCTGGAATATTAATCCACCCCCGATTGTCTAAACTTAGCCCAGGTGGATGATGTGTGGCCAGGTCTATAAAACAGCAGAGGCAGTGTCGGACGTTATCTCTCAGGTTCAGATTGTGTGAAGAAACTCCTCATCATGGTAAGACTGAACTCCTTCACATCCTCCTTTATTTGTCTGTAGCCAGGATGTTAGAAATACTGAGGTCACGGGTTCGAGTCCCACGGATGTAAATCTGTGCGTTTTAATACAATTTCAAAGCAACAATATTAACTTATACACTCTAAAATGTTTGATTTAATGTTTTTGAGTTATGGCAACATCACTGTAAATCCAGATAAGTTAATTTACCTGAAAGTAATACAAATTATTATTTTTTTTGGTTTAAAAAGATTCTTGATTAAGCAGCTTTTACTAGTATTTTTAAGTGGCACTAACTTATATTCCTGATTAATAACTTTTAACTGGGTATTTTGTTTTTACAGCACAAATAAAAAAGAATGTTTTTTTTAACTTAGTTACTAGTTTTGAAGCCCCCAAATGAAGATATTTGAATTTAAAAACATTATTGTGGCACATTAGTAAATCCTTTAATATAAATATCTAGAAGGTGGCATTAGAAATCAATAAATTGTTGTTACTTATCACTTTGTCTAAAATGTGGCCATAACCGATACATTAACTTTTAATAATTAATTAATTAACTTTGGTCTGAGTGAATACTGTGTGATTTGAGTAAGAGATAATGCCTGACGAGGTGTCCGTTATCAGGAATTAATGGACCACATGGAGGCCATTAATTCCTGACACCTCGTCAATCTAAATTAATGAGTTAAATTCGACAGCATTTGAACCCAAACTGATAGTAACCAGCATATAAATATAGTTAATATTTGTATTGTATATTGTGGTGTATATTGTGTAGTAGTAATGTCTGCCTCCATATTTAATCTTCAACCTGTTTGACGTGTTGCTCTTGTGATCCAACGTATACACTCGTGCACTCGTGACTCTTATATTTCAGTGTCATTGAAATGAAGCCAAACACATAAATAGATGAAGCTAAATGCCCTTGATGGAGCGTTATCTTCGGACTCTTCTGCCCTCACCATGAACACAGCAATTTTTAAAACTGTGAAAACAGAGTTAGACCAAAGGTACTGTTAAAAACTTCCTTTCTACACTTTCTTTTAGTTTATGCTCAGGAAAAAAGTTGTTTTACAAAGCTTTGCATTTATTACTGTACGCATAATTTGACTTTGAGAGTCTAATTTCATGTTATTCATATGGCATTTGGTGAGTTAGTGTAGTAACATGAGTGGGAAATTAACGTGTTAAAATGAGAAACTACCAGCTACTTACAGATAAATGTTTAAATTCACCAGCCACTCAATAGTAAATAATTATTTTCTGTCTGAAATCTACCAACACTTCAGTATTTTACCAGAATTTGGTTGGTGCTAATTTCCTAAACTGGTTGTAACAATGAAACTGAATTCTTAAAATAGAAAGAAACAAGGAAAAATCAACATTAAGTGTTCATAGAAACAGTAAATAATCTAATAAACATACACATGAAGTCCACAAGTAAAACTTAAAAGAGTAAATACACAGAAAGAATACAGAAAAAAAAACAACGGCTAGCTATATAGCTAAAATGTTGTATTAACCTGTGATAGCTTGTAGTGGCTAGCTTCAGTAAGATGAAACCAACTGCTGCAGGCGAAATAAAGGAGATATCAAATAAATAAATCTTTATATAATAAATTCTTAAAAGTGTAGGAATAAACAAGAAGTTCTCATAGAAACAGTAAATAATCTAATAAACATAGACATGCAGTTCACAAGTAAAAGTTAAAAGAGTAAAATACACAACCAATAAATTAATAGTTAGCTACTTTGCTAAAAAGTTGTATTAGGCTCGGGTAGCCGGTAGCCAGTATAAGCTAGTGGCTAGCTTGGTTAGCAGTAAGTTGATCAACAAACAAAACGTCTTACTAAACTACTAAATCAGCTGCAATAAAAGGAGTTTGTATGGATAATAAGGGCATTTAAAGGGAAGATAAAAGACACAAAATGGTGGCTGTAACAATGTCAGTTAAACTGCCACGGAACTCTGCCAGTGCAGTTGGTTGCTACAGCAACGGAATGTTCAACTGGAGCAACCTTTAATGTACGAACAATATCTCTCATATTCTCCCATCAGTCACCGAAGAAGGCGAAGAAGAAGTCGCCCGAGGGCGGCTCCAACGTGTTCAGCATGTTTGAGCAGTCGCAGATTCAAGAGTTCAAGGAGGTGAGATTGTTGTTTATCGTAAATAATTCTGTCTGAGCGAGTCGTTACGAAGTAAACACATTGTCTGCATAGATCTTAATGGATGGACTTTATTGCAGTGTCTGCTTCTAGTCTTTATGCTAAGCTAGGCTAACAACATCCTGACTGTACTTGAAATAAGTTTTTTTTTTAAACTTTATTTGGAAAATAGACATGAACTTGCAAGACAAACATTTACTTTTAAATTTGCACTTATATTGTATACTTTCTATAAAGACATTGATATAAAACTAAATTGTGCAACAAATAAAACATTTTGGACCAAATTGGTAAGTTTTTATCAATTTCTGATTTTTAAGTTTTAGGTTGACATAATCGATCAGTCTTCAAAAAAAGTGTTAATGTATTTTACAAATGTTAAACTATCCCTTTAACTTTAATTACTGTAGGCTAATTAAAAACTTTTAAATTAGCTACATTACCATCTATCATAATAACACTGAGAATAACTACTTTTATACTTTAGCTCTTTAAAGATATTATAACTTATTTCCTGAATATTTGCTCAGCGATGTTGAATATTGATTAATTAATTAGGGCATTGATAACATTAATCAGATGCTTTAAGGCCTGTTTCTGTTATTGACAAACTATAATATTATATTATAAAGATCTCTGTGTGTCTCTGCAGGCTTTCACCATCATGGACCAGAACAGAGATGGTTTCATTGACAAGGGGGACCTGAGAGACACATATGCTGCCCTGGGTGAGCTGCCTCTTTCTTAATATAGTATTAGTATAAATAAAGGAAAGAGCTTTCGGGTCTGAACCATTGAAACCAACTCAGAAGTGTCTTAAACCTGCATTCTATGTTACAACCAGCAGGGGGAGCTCCATTGGCTGCAGTAATCCCATTGACTTTAAAGGAGAAATGAGTCG